GGGTCTTGCCCGGTTGGTTTCTTCGGAAGCAAAGCCAACAAGCTGCCGTTGAAGTCGCAAGATCCGAACCGGTTGTCCCCCGCGCCGTACTCGCGCATCATAGTCTCATCAGAGCCCTCTGCCATCATCGCCTGCAGGGTGTCCACAAGCACTTCGACGCCGACCTCGCCGATGCCGCGCCAGAAACTGTAGGGGATGCCATCTGGCCCTGGGGCTGTGGCGCCGGCGCCTTTCAGCGCCTGGCGAACGTGGGCGGCAGAGACCCCGCACTCGGGCATCACCTCCGCGAAGGTCGGCATCCCGTCGAACCACGGCGAGATCCTCTCCAAGTTGCCGACCCCTTTGGCTCGGAAATGCTCGGCCCAGTGGCGGACCAAAGCGGGGGCAGCACGCTGCGCGTCCGTGGTGATCGAGCCGTCTCGCAGCTGGATCGCCGACAGGGCGTGCTCCGACCTCGGCCGAAGGCGGCGTAGAGTCTGCAAGGCCCGGCGGCGCCGCCCGCGAAGTTCTCCTTCGGGCGCGCCAGCCCTCACGGCCGCCTGCACCTCCTCGAGCTGAGCCCGTGCCGGCGCCTTCGCGTAGCCATAAGCCGCATCCTGCAAAAACCTCTGGGCGTCCAGCGGCAGCATCGCCAGGCAGGGGGCGAGTTCGGGCACCGCCGCCGCCATCTTCAGCAGCAAAGCGCGGTCTTGACGGCGGACGCCCTGCAGGCCCCGCATAGACCAGGACAGGCGGCCATCAACGTCGTCATGCGGCAGCTCTCGCGGGGCGGCGCGCTGAAGGCCCAGGGCCGCCTCGGCCATTGCCTCCTTGAGGAGTCGGAGACGCCCGAAAGGCGATGCGGCTGCGCCGGTGCTATCGTTGGCGAGCTTGTCGGCGAAGAGCAGCATCGTGCGGTCCCTCCACGCCGGGCAGTGCCCCATCTCCGGAGCCAGACCGCGCCCGGCGACACCATCGCGGGCCCCTGGCGGCGCGCAGCGGAACACGGAGATAGCCCGATGCGTGCTGAGCGCGCGACCCATCGATCCCGAGTAAGCCCAGTCCAGCGCTGCCGTGCCCACCAGCTCGTTGAGGAAGCAGCTGGGGTGGAGATTGGCATAACACCGATCCAGACGAAACAGGACCCCCTGATGTTGGTGCGTGTACGCCGTGTTTCGCCACAGGGTCATGTCAGTGCCCTGCAGCTGCTGCCCCAAGTGCTGTTCCTCACTCCGGTCGCGCCCGCCCCTCGGAGAGTGACCCTCGACCTGGATGCGACCCAAGTCGTCCGCAACCCAATTGAAGTCCCCAATGAGGAGACTGAGGCGCCGCGAAGCAGGTGCAATATGACTCGCAACTGTTCGTCGCATCCGCTGCCGGGATGTCTTGGCTGTGATCGCCGCGTCTTCCTCGTCCTGCTCGTTCGAGCCTGTGGCGAAGTAGACGGCGAAAATGGAGAGATCGCCATTGTCGCCGTTGAGCCACAATTCGCCGGCGCGCCCAGGCACAAGGATACGCCAGTCCGACTGGAGAGCGAATCGCCGCAGAAACCCAGTCGCGACGATCACGCCCACTCCCGCTCTGGCAGAAGAGCCATGCGCCCAGAAGGCCGGGAACTCCCCAAAATACGCCTGCCCATCGCGGGTGTTCAGCGCCTCCACCTCTGGCGTCGAATGCGTCTCCGCGACGACGACCGCGTCGTGGTCGCGAAGGGGACGGCGAATATGGGCGCCTTTTTCCTGACGGCTGCGCGGACAAGCGGCAAAGAGACCCTGGGCGTTCCACGTGGCAACTCTGAAGTCGCCTGCATATGGGCCTAAGCCGCTGCCCGTCCGCGGACGCTCCAATCGAGGGGGCAGCGATGGCGGCGGTGGCGGCTGCGATGCCCCCAAGCGTGGCGGCGCGGCCGCCGGGGGCAGGGTCGGCGCTGCAGGTAGCGCGGCCTGCTCGCTGACGGTTAAGGCCACCCGCCTTACTCGAAAACGGATGAACACAACATGGAGATCACCAGCCTCGAACGGGCTCCGGTGCAGGCCGGCTGGGTCGCCTAGCACCGGCGGCCGTTTCCCGGCCTAGCTGCAAGCGGGGTGAGCTGCACGTCCAGGGACACCAAATCGACCCCCAGCTGGAGACCACGACCATGGAGAAGCTCATGCAGGTGACGGGCCTCAGCCGGCGAGCGGACGGCCAACTCCAGGCGTCCAGTCAGGGCGCCCGCCACTGCGCCATGCTCGGGCCGAAGGGTGTAGGCTTCCAGAGCCTCGTCCTGACGGATTCGCCTCACCTGTTGACCTAAAGCCTTGTGTATCATGTCGCCCACCGCCTGGACGACGTGGTCTGGCCGGGGGCCAGGGGGGCCCTGCAGCTGCACCAGGAGGCGTGCCGATACCTCGTCACATCGAGCCGCGAGTTGCCGCTGCCTGTTCGCCGTCCCGGGAGCGGAGACCCAGAGACCCCCCCCGTTGACGAGACGCTTATGCCGGAGATGAAAAACGCACCGCTGCGGATCCGCGGTCTGCCACTCCCTCATGTCCTCCTCCCACTTGGTCTCGTCCAGCCTGGTGCGAATCACCGCGGTCCGCGTGCTCAACGGGAGGAGTTCCAGGCAATTGCCCCCTGCCACCGAAAGGGCCCCCGGCCCCGTGGTGGTCATGATCAGCGCCGTGTCGTCCATGAAGATGTCGTCGCGGGCGGCGACGCCACCCATCGGCAGGAGCAGCTTATGAAGCTGGCGGGCGAAGACTGCTGCATCCATCCCTGTGCACGCGGCGTCGCCGGAGTACAACGTGAGGCGCAGTCGGGGGTCCGCCTTCTGCGAGGCGGGGTTCCGTCGAGGTTCGGACTGCCTCCATCCCGTCGCCAGCACCGCAGCACTCACCTCCAGCACCTTGGCTTCGGTCCGCGCCGGGAAATCGAGGCTAATGGTCGCCACCCCCACCGCGACTTGCTTCCAAGGCTCCTCCATTGTCAGCGACGTCGGCAGCACAAGTAGCGCTTCGCGCTGGAAGGTGAGCAAACCCAGAGGTCGCCACGATACCTGCGGGAAGCGGCCGCCCGGGCTAATCTGCTCCAGCGGCTGCAGCATGAATTCCACCTTGGCCAGCACTCCCGCCCATCGCTCTCCCAAGCCTGGGTGAGACCAATGCTGCAAGATTGCCGTCGGCGTGGAGCAGCCGGGCAGATCGTCGAGGGGGCACGCCAGTCGCAGCGTGGTGCCGCGGTGCCCCTGGCCCAGGTGGCGCACGTAGCCTCCCAGCAGGCGGCCGACCTCCTCAGCGGCAGCTGGAGACCAGATGATCACCTCCTTGCCAGCCAGGCGTGTCCAGCAAGCGTCCGATGCGGACGAGCAGAGGATGAGCCACATGTCCGTCGCCTCTGCGGCAGGGAGCGCCCGCGAAAGTTGCGCCGGCGTCAGCCCGAGATGATTCGAGCACTGCGTGCCGACCACGCTGTTCTCCGGCCGCAGGGTGTCGAGGAGTGTGAGGCCCATGGCCCCGAGCTCCTGGCAGAGACGCCTCGAGGAAGCACTGAACCCTCGACGCCCCCCCGTACTCGCCAGCTCCCGTTGGATGGTGTCCGCGGCGGCCGCCAACCGGCGCATGCCCTCGTCGGCCTGCTCGATGTCGGTCTCTGGCCACCGCTGGGCGTCCGCCAGGGTCAGCAGCGTGCGAGCGAGCTCAAGCCGCCGCTGCACTGCCGTCGACTGCTCCTTCGAGGAGCGAGTTGGGACGACCCCCAGCGCCATCCACGCATCAGTATGCTCGCTGCGGAAGCCGAGGTGGCGGAGCACGCCATCCAGCAACGCCCACGAGCAGATCTGGCTGCGAGGCGTGAGCTGCACCCTGGCACCGCTGGCTGCGGCCACAGCGAAGTCGCTGAGGAGGCAATCCTCCACGTAGGAGGCGAAGAGCTCGTCCGAGACGGTGATGTGCTGTGGCGCCGTGGCTCCAGCTGCTGCAGTTGCGGCCTCGCCCACCTGCAAAGACGCCATGCCTTGCGTGGCGCCGGAGTCGTCGGCCTCTGCGTCCATGCTGGCAGTGGCAGGCGAGGCGACCGCAGCCGCAGCATCCCGTGGAACGGGTAGCCCTGGCGGCAGCGGCGGCCTGGCAGCCGCAGCAGCGGCGGCGCCGCCGGGGAGCGCCTGCCCGCAGCGCCGGCATCGGCCCTGCTCGTCAGCCGAAGCCGGGAGCGCCCCGAAGAGGGGGCAGGCCGAATGGGCGCAGGCCATGCCGTCGGTCGAATGTGGAGGGGTTGGGAGAGCGGAAGGAGAAAGAAGCCAAAACGCGCCCTGTGCGCGGGCACTTGGGGCCGGCCCGTTTGAGCCGGCCCATGCTTGAGCCAAAGAGTCTCCAAGAGTACTCCCAAAGGGCCCGCAGAGGCAAAAATCATTGATCCTTCAAAGTGTTTGAAAGATTTTGACGTTCACGCCTTTTCGGATTCCCAACGCTCGGAGACAGTCCAAGAGGCCTCCAAGAGCGCCCCCAAACTACCCAAGACGGCCCCAAGACGGCCTAAAAGGCCTCCAAGACGGCCGAAGTGGCCATTCCAAAAAGGTGTGCAAACGGGGGACCCGAATGGACATTTCGAGCCCTCGGCTCCAAGGAGCTCCCAAGAGGCCCCTAGAGGTCCACAAGGGGCCCCCAAGAATCCCCAAGCGACCCCCAAGAGGCTCCAAAAGGCTCCCAAGAGGCTCCCACGAAGCCGCCAAGACGAGACCCCAAAACTGCCCCCGAGAAGCCCCCGAGAGCAGTCCGAAGAGATCCCCAAGAGCATCCCTGAAGACTCCGACTCACGTCAGCATCGTCGTCGTCGTCGCCGCCGCCGCCGTCGTCCCCATTCAGGGTCGGCGGCACGGGCCGTAAGGCCCTAGCAATAATGCAAAAAAACGTCCCCATACGATTGTTGGACTAATTCTGAATTGTCCGCCTGTAGAGGGATGCCCGGATTAAAGGCAGCTCCTCCTCCCCTCATCCCCCCGTGCGCGTCCCCGCTCCCGCCGCCTCCCAGGGTGCGCTCCCCGCCTGCACCCTGGCCGCGCCGCTGGAGCACGCGGTGCTCGAGGGCCAGGCGGCCGCTGCCCTCCAAGCGCCTTCGTCGGGGGCGGCGCCGACGCCGGCGGCGCTGGCGGCCTGGTCGCGGCCGCCGCGGGCGGCGTCGGAGGGGCCGCCGTTCGCAGCGCCGCCGTCAGCGGCGGCACTCGGAGCGGCGCCGCAGTCACCGGCGGCGGCGGCGCTGCCTATCCCATCGACACAGTCGCGGCCGCCATCGGCGGCGGCACCTCCCGGGGAGGCGCCATCGGCAGCGGCGCCGGTGGCGGCGCCACTGCCCGGGGCGGCGCCGTCCGAGGCGCCATCGGGAGCCCAGCTCAGGCCCTCACCTCGCCCTCTGCCCGGCCCCGAGCACCCCGCCCCCCCCCTGCAGGGCGAGGTGGGGGGGAGGGAAGGGGGGAAACACTGGAACAAAGGGGGGACGAGGGAGCAGGAGGGAAGGCCTCCCTCCATCTCCACCTTCGCTCCCTGCTCCTCTATGCTTCCGTCCTCGACCTGAAAGATAAGCCCTCCTCCCCCTCCTCCTCCTCCTCCTCGTCCTCATCCTCGTCCTCCTCCTCCTCCTCCTCCTCCTCCTCCTCCTCCTCCTCCTCCTCCTCCTGTTACTGGTCATCATCATGATCATGACTCCAAACGCTGACATCACACCCACCGCCACCAACAACAACGACAACAACAACATCATGATAATTAACATCAAAAGCATCAACAGCATCATCGTCATCAGCATCATCATCATCGTCATCATCATCATCATCATCATCATCATCATCATCATCATCATCATCATCATCATCATCATCATCATCAGCATCAGCATCAGCATCAGCATCAGCATCATCATCATCATCAGCATCAGCATCAGCATCAGCATCAGCATCAGCATGAGCATCGAGGCTGAGGCTGAGGCAGGCTGAGGCTGAGGCTGAGGCTGAGGCTGTGACTGCGACTGCCGTTGCCACTGCGACTGTCGTCGCGAATGCGACTACAACTGCGAGAACAGCAGAAGTCTACAACTGGATTCTCATCTGAATCTTAAGGGGAATGCTTCCAAATATGCTCCTACACATCGCTGTAGGTTTCTTTGCCGGGATAATGATTGTGGCATTTTTGTTTCTACTACACTGGCCTATCCCGATCGAAGTGTATGTTTATGGCATTTTATCTTCTTCCATACTGGACGAGGAGGACGTGACTGCCACCCGCGGCTTGAGCCGCCCAGGGCTGGACGACGCGGTGCCCGGGGGCCCGGCGCCCGCGGGGCCGCGGCCGGTGCCCCGGCGGCGGGTCATGGACGCGCCGCGGCCCTGAGGCCTGGCGCAGCCGCGCGGCAGCTCGGCCCACAAATGGGGGGGCAAGAGGGGACACCCTTACCCAGACCCCGCGGTGCGGAAAAATGGCGACGGGAGGTCTTTCGCTTCTGCATTTTCGGCCTCTGGAGGCCCTTACCGAACCTCGGGACCGTGGGAAACCAGTCCGTGGGAAGGGGCCCAAACCTCTGGGGGTCGACGTTGTGAAAAAACACAACGCCAGAGGCCTGGGTATGTTGCATCCTCGGGAGCCTTGTCCGACCCCTTTCGGCTATCCGCGTCGAATCGGTGTCGAATGCATGTCGGACTCGTCAGATCCATGTCGAATCCGTGTCGGATCCGCATCGAATCCACGCCAAATCCGCGTCGAGTCCGCGTCGAGCCCGCGTCGAGCACCAGAAAAAACACCAATTCCGGAGACAGTCCCCCGATGATGAACTTAAGACACTCTACACTATGCTGTGTTGTAGGGGGTGGACAGTTTTGCCGTCGGAGGGGGGAAGTTGCCGTTCGCTCTTCCCTGAGATCCCACGTAGCGAAAAATATGCTACAACGTAATGAGCCAATCACGAATAGTGCCCTGGACCGCATTTGTTTGCACCATTTTTACCTAACAGCGAAGACTGATAGGTTTCTAGTAAGGTCAGAAGAGAGCATCATGACTCCCCAGGGGGGTCTGGGCAGATGCCGGACGGGTGCCCCGGGAATCCGAGGATTCCTTTTTTAGCCCACAGTAACGCACTTCGTGGTCTTCGAGTTCCCAGAACTCCATTCCTGGGCATGATCTTAAATGCCCGGAGCCAACTGTAGGCCACTTCGTGTTCTTCGAGTTCCCAGAACTCCATTCCTGGGCATGATTTTGAATGCCCGGAGCCAACTGTAGGCCACTTCGTGGTCTTCGAGTTCCCAGAACTCCATTCCTGGGCATGATTTTGAATGCCCGGAGCCAACTGTAGGCCACTTCGTGGTCTTCGAGTTCCCAGAACTCAATTCCTGGGCATGATTTTGAATGCCCGGAGCCAACTGTAGGCCACTTCGTGGTTCTTCGAGTTCCCAGAACTCCATTCCCGGGCCACATTTTGAATGCTGAGGCAGGCTGATGCTAAGGCTGAAACAGGCTGAGGCTGAGGCTGAGGCAGGCTGAGGCTGAGGCCGAGGCTGAAGGCAGACTGAGGCTGAGGCTGAAGCGGGCTGAGGCTGAGGCAGAGGTAGGCTGAGGCTGAGGCCGAGGCAGGCTGATGCTGAGGCAGGCTGAGGCTGAGACTGAGGCTGAAGGCAGACTGAGGCTGAGGCTGAAGCAGGCTGAGGCAGAGGTAGGCTGAGGCTGAGGCTGAGGCAGGCTGATGCTGAGGCAGGCTGAGGCTGAGGCTGAGGCTGATGCAAGCTGAGGCTGAGGCAGGCTGAGGCTGAGGCCGAGGCTGAAGGCAGACTGAGGCTGAGGCTGAAGCAGGCTGAGGCTGAGGCTGAGGCAGGCTGAGGCAGGCTGAGGCCGAGGCTGAGGCTGAGGCAGGCTGAGGCTGAGGCTGAGGCTGAAGCAGGCTGAGGCTGAGGCAGAGGTAGGCTGAGGCTGAGGCTGAGGCAGGCTGATGCTGAGGCTGAGGCTGAGGCTGAAGGCAGACTGAGGCTGAGGCTGAGGCTGAGGCTGAGGCAGGCTGAGGCTGAGCTGAGGCAGGCTGAGGCTGAGGCTGAGGCTGATGCACTGAGGCTGAGGCAGGCTGAGGCTGAGGCCGAGGCTGAAGGCAGACTGAGGCTGAGGCTGAAGCAGCTGAGGCTGAGGCTGAGGCAGGCTGAGGCTGAGGCTGAGGCAGGCTGATGCTGAGGCAGGCTGAGGCTGCGGCTGAGGCTGATGCAGGCTGAGGCTGAGGCAGGCTGAGGCTGAGGCCGAGGCTGAAGGCAGACTGAGGCTGAGGCTGAAGCAGGCTGAGGCTGAGGCTGAGGCAGGCTGAGGCTGAGGCTGAGGCAGGCTGATGCTGAGGTAGGCTGAGGCTGAGGCTGAGGCTGATGCAGGCTGAGGCTGAGGCAGGCTGAGGCTGAGGCCGAGGCTGAAGGCAGACTGAGGCTGAGGCTGAAGCAGACTGAGGCTGAGGCTGAGGCAGTCTGAGGCTGAGGCTGAAGCAGGCTGATGCTGAGGCAGGCTGAGGCTGAGGCTGAGGCTGATGCAGGCTGAGGCTGAGGCAGGCTGAGGCTGAGGCCGATGCTGAAGGCAGACTGAGGCTGAGGCTGAAGCAGGCTGAGGCTGAGGCTGAGGCAGGCTGAGGCTGAGGCTGAGGCAGGCTGATGCTGAGGCAGGCTGAGGCTGAGGCTGAGGCTGATGCAGGCTGAGGCTGAGGCAGGCTGAGCCTGAGGCCGAGGCTGAAGGCAGACTGATGCTGAGGCTGAAGCTGGCTGAGGCTGAGGCTGAGGCAGGCTGAGGCTGAGGCAGGCTGAGGCTGAGGCTGAGGCAGGCTGATGCTGAGGCAGGCTGAGGCTGAGGCTGAGGCTGATGCAGGCTGAGGCTGAGGCAGGCTGAGGCTGAGGCCGAGGCTGAAGGCCGACTGAGGCTGAGGCTGAAGCAGGCTGAGGCTGAGGCAGAGGCAGGCTGAGGCTGAGGCAGGCTGATGCTGAGGCAGGCTGAGGCTGAGGCTGAGGCTGATGCAGGCTGAGGCTGAGGCAGGCTGAGGCTGACGCCGAGGCTGAAGGCAGACTGAGGCTGAGGCTGAAGCAGGCTGAGGCTGAGGCAGGCTGAGGCTGAGGCAGGCTGAGGCTGAGGCTGAGGCTGAGGCAGGCTGAGGCTGAGGCTGAGGCTGAGGCAGGCTGAGGCTGAGGCAGGCTGAGCTGAGGCCGAGGCTGCAGGCAGACTGAGGCTGAGGCTGAAGCAGGCTGAGGCTGAGGCTGAGGCAGGCTGAGGCTGAGGCTGAGGCAGGCTGATGCTGAGGCAGGCTGAGGCTGAGGCTGAGGCTGATGCAGGCTGAGGCTGAGGCAGCCTGAGGCTGAGCCGAGGCTGAAGGCAGACTGAGGCTGAGGCTGAAGCAGGCTGAGGCTGAGGCTGAGGCAGGCTGAGGCTGAGGCAGGCTGAGGCTGAGGCTGAGGTTGAGGCTGAGGCTGAGGCAGGCTGAGGCAGACGCTGAGGCAGGCTGATGCTGAGGCAGGCTGAGGCTGAGGCTGAGGCTGATGCAGGCTGAGGCTGAGGCAGGCTGAGGCTGAGGCCGAGGCTGAAGGCAGACTGATGCTGAGGCTGAAGCAGGCTGAGGCTGAGGCTGAGGCAGGCTGAGGCTGAGGCAGGCTGAGGCTGAGGCAGGCTGAGGCTGAGGCTGAGGCTGAGGCAGGCTGAGGCTGTGACTGCGACTGCCGTTGCCACTGCGACTGTCATCGCGAATGCGACAACGACTTCGAGAACAGCAGAATTCTACAACTGGATTCTCATCTGAATCTCAAGGGGAAAGCTTCCAGATATGCTCCTACACATCGTTGTTCGGTTGCTTTGCTGTGATAATTCAAGCCGGATGGATCGGTGAGGGTCCCTGGGATAGACATTGAGAGCAAACGACCAACTCGCAAAAATTGAATTTCAAGGATCTCAGAAATTGCTGTTCCGGGTGTTCCCGCTTCGCAGTCTTGCATGCCCCCTACTGCAAACACTACTACGACAAAGATTCCTACTACTCCTACTACTCCTACTACTCCCACTACTCCTACTCCTACTCCTACTCCTACTCCTACTCCTACTCCTACTCCTACTACTACTACTACTACTACTACTACTACTACTACTACTACTACTACTACTACTACTACTACTACTACTACTACTACTGCTAATAATAATAATACGACTACTACTACTACTAACTACTAAACTACTACTACTACTACTACTAACTCTACTACTAATACTACTACTACTAACTTACTACTACTACTACTACTACTACTATTACTACTACTACTAACTACTACTCTACTACTACGAACTACTACTCTACTACTACTACTACTACACTACTACTACTACTACTACTAACTTTGGACTGCTGCTCTACTGCACGAGT